TCCAGCACCAGAGTTCAAAGGCCTCCATTCTTTGGCCCTCAGCCTTCATTATGGTCCCACTTTCACAGCCATCCGTTGCCACTGGGAAAACCACAGCCTTGACTAGATGCCCTTTTGTTGGCCGGGGGATGTCTCTGCTTTTTAGTAGGCTGCCTAGATTTGCCTTTATTTGATATCTGTCTAGATTTAGATGTATATTTTCCTCTGGTGATGTTAAAGTTAATTCAGACTGATAAAAAGCTGGTGTTTTAGCATTGCGTCTAAGCATTCCTTCAGTTTTTCCTCTCCTTTACACGTCTCCAACTCCCCCCACCCCTCCCTCTCTACCAGTAATTTTACTCAGGAAAAATAAATGAAAATACCAGACACCTCTTCCTCCCTCTCTCTCCTTTCTCTCTCGCTCAAATATTTTTGCTCGATCGGTGACAGGAAGCCCAAAGCTCAAAAGATGGCAGTTTGGAAGCCAAAGTCATATTTTGGAGAGAGAGAGAGAGAGATTTTAACGCTCCCTTCCCTTCTTCTCTGACAGTCGAAGTGCAAATCGCAGCCCAGGGAACGAAGCAAATGATAGATGGCCTTCCGGTGTTACTACGCAAAAGACAAGAGATCTCTTCAAATGTGTCACTCGGCCGCTTGGCGTGTCAACTGCATTTCTCGGTGTTTATGGTTAAAAAAAACAAAACAAAGACTGCGGTGTCAGGAGGCAAAGCTCAGTATATTTCAATCGGGCTGTAATTGCTGCTAGGAAAGATTGAAGTGAGGGAGAGAAAGAAAGAAGGGGGAATGGAGGAACTACACATTGTGCTGACTGAGGCTTCCCAAGAACATGAAGCTGACTCCTGGTCTCGACAAAATGATCCCCTTTTATTTATTCATCTCCAGCAAAGTCTTTCCAGGGAGGATTTACGGTCACAGACCTTCTCCTTGCTTGGAGAGCTGCCAGGCCGAGATCTGCAGAACTTGGCAAGGACCCTCGGAGAGTCACTAACCAATGAAGCGAACTAATTGTCTCCTGCAAACTCCACTCCCCCTTCGCTCCTCTTTTATTTC